CTATAAGCTTATTAACTTATTATTGTTTACGCGCATAGCGTTAATCTTTCGAAGTACGTCATTTTCGGTTCCACGTTATTTGTCAGCGCGTCTTTCCCGGAAACTATCGATACACACCGTTTCCGCCGGTATCGGTTCCCCGAAACGAGTCGATCTCATTCTCGTGCTTTTAGGTGAAACTGCTTTCTTATCGACACGTTGATCAATACGTTCAATTTATGTGCATTTGTCCGATTGATATTTATGACCTGGCGATCACGGTGGATTGCCATCACGGCCTCAAACTTTATGACGTAAGCGTTTCCGTGTCACGCAACGTTCACGCTTGGTGGTACCACGAGCCGCGGCGGCGGCGGCGGCGGCGTCTCCTGTCATACTTCGTCAATAGCGACACGTATCGTCCGCGAAATTAGAACCCGTAAACGGGAAAGAGTGACGATGTATTACCGCGCCGCGAGCGTTTCATATTTTCTGGAAGCCGCGAAACGGGGTCGCGCGCGCGCGCGCACACATCTCGATCTGCCCCCGGTGAATTTATTGGAACGTTTTCCATGAAGAATGCCATGATAGGCATACGTCGCGGGCGCCGATTGATGTGCTGTCCCTCGTCTGCAAATCATGTCGAAGCAGAAGGCTTAATGTTCCGTACAAATCAAATTCGCATTGGGACGCCTACAGCTGCAACGAAAATTCATTTGACACGTCAGCCTCGGTTTGGCCATTTGGACAGGTTAATTTTTAAGTGTTTAATCTACAGTTTAAGCCGAATACTTTTCGTGTATATATACTAGGGTGGTCCTTATTTTTCGAGTTATGGAATTTTTTTTAGTCTCAGTTTAGAATGATTTCTTTTTATAAAAAAAAACAATCCCTGTAAAATTTCAGCTCGATCGGATAACGGGAAAGGGTGCCGAAGAATGATTAATTTTTTAAGATAAATGTGTATTTTAAATAATTTTTTTGAAATAATAATAAAAATTTTACAGGAATTATTTTTTTATGCAAAGAAATCATTCTAAATTATGAGACTAAAAAAAATTCCATAACTCGAAAAATAAGTACCACCCTAATATGTGTATACTCATGAATTATTTTCTAAAATGTAAAGGAAGGAAAGGTTTTCGAGGAATAGGAAAAAAAATCTGAAACTATATTACATAACAGTTTTGCAATTTATGTCCATTTTAGAGTCTGACAATAACTTTTGTGAACGTCGAAAATAGTATTGCTTTCATAACTTACATCGAGCCGAATCGCGAAAATAAACGCCAGCGTATAAAACGTTGCGGTTACTCTATTTTGCTCCCGACCTACACACTGCGAATACTGCGATCGTATATTTTATTCTTATTCTGTATTTTGTTTTTTTTTTATTCTCCATCGTTTTCTCCTGTTCCATGTTTCTTCTGTTCCTTACTTTCTTGTGTAACGAGCTGAGCTACGTGCGCGTTCTGTTAGTAAAACGGCGGAGGGGAGTGGGAGGAGGGTGGATACCAATCCTGCGGTAAATCGCATTTTCTCTTCCGTTAACAGAAATATCGCTTTTTTTTTTTCAACAACAGAAAGTATACATTTTGTTGAATCCTTAATGATGTATGTTGGTTTGCTGTGTGTTTTACGATTTCTTATAATTAGTTCACACAATCACCTAAAACGCATTATTAACACGCTATATTATTGTATATTAATGTCACCAACTGACGTTCAAAAAAAAAAATGATGGCGTAAACGCGCATATGTAGGGCGTGCATGTGCATGCATAAAAATGTTTCTGTAAGAGTTGTTAATAACGCGATCAATCCAAGTGAGCGACGGCGAAGTTATTACACGTATGCTCGCGATGAAACTGGTTGCCGCTTGCATTTAAATTCCAAAAGTTTGCATAAACGTTTTCATAAATGCTGGACGAGCTTGCTTTTAGAAATGGTCGCGCGATTGCCTTTGACGCGACAAAAAGTGCAATATACGCCGCGGGTGTGCGCATTTTGCATGCAAATATTGCGGCAATTTAATTGCATTAAAATTTAGATAAATTTCGACGGGGAAATAATTGAAAAGCAGCGTCTGCTGCAGCGCCAGACCCGTCTGATAAACATGCACGATATATAATGCTTCTCAATTTTTTGTTCGCTCAACAAAATCGTATAAATCGCATATGATATTTTAAATAATTTTGATCTCAAAGTATAATAAAATGTAACAATTTAAATACAATGTAAATATCAAAAAGAATCGGCCAAATACGAGCTAATAACACTGAGCGTTTTATAATAAAAGATAAATTTAATATTCTAAATACAATAAAAATATATAAATATTCGGTGTTATTAGCTCTTTGGCCGATTCTGTTTGATATTTATATTGCGCTTCAATAACGAGCAAATTATTAATTTCTTAATATAACAATTTAATTTTAAGAAATGAGATCTTCCTGATCACTCAATTAATTTTAAGGATTATATGAACAAGAGAGAAAGAGAGAGAGAGAAAGAGAGAGAGAGAGAGAGAGAGAGAGAGAGAGAGAGAGAGAGAGAGAGAGAGCGGCGCATCGTCTCGGTTGGCTTTAAAATTTATGAAATGCAGATTTCTCGCCCGTGCCAGGATTGTTCATTCGTAATGGACGCGAACGAAAGTTCTTAGCGACTATTATTTCTTCTTTGAGTGGGTTTTATCGCGCGATTATCGAGTCGTTGAAACCGGAGCCGTTAACTGGATATCGCTGCCGCCGCGCCGCGGCCGCCGTTGTCGTCGTCGAGACGATTAACGTCCTCGCGATTTAAACGACGAAATGCGACTGCGAACGTAGTAGCGAAAATATACGAGAACGTATATGTATGGGTCGCAAAGGGGATGAAAGGGATTTGCATAGCAAGCGTGAATTTTGCATGCGGAAAGTGCGTCCGGGAAAATATTGTAAGAACAATTTTCTGCTCGCGGAAAGTAGTAAGCCGCGCGAAAATATCCTGCCCGCTAGAAGATAATCGTATTCTCGCGTCGCGTGCGTTCGAAGAAAATTTAAAAGACTGCTGGGAAGTAAGACTATTTCATGGAAATATAAGAGGTTCAGAGATTTTTGCCATAGCAGTTCCATAGTTTTCCGAGAAATGAATAAATGTTGCGCTCGCTTTTATCTTTGCGTCATGTTTTTTCGCTAAACAAGGGCAGAAAAGTATATATATATATATATATATATAAAAGTAAATCTAACTTTTCGATAAACATGCGTTGCGTAAGTAAACATCTTAATAATTTTTGCAAAACTTAGATTTAATAGAAGAAAAAATAACAAATTGAGAGCAGATTACGCGAGAGAAGGAAAAATGTGAAAATGTTAATTTTTATGAAATATTTCTGTAAAAATTATATATCTAGTAAATAATATTATATACATATTCTTTTATATATATTGATATATAAAGTTTATAATAATATTTATGCAATGATTATTTAAAATATTTTAAAAAATGTAAAACTCATCGCGGATGATTATTGAATAAAATCTGAAAAGAAAATATTTGAAATGTAAATATCGACTAAATATCAAACCAATATACATATGTGCAAAGTTTAATATGTATGCAAATTTAATTGCATTCCACTATTGTTCTCTTATTTATTTAGAGAAACTAATTTTCAGACTTGTATATATACCGTACGTATATACAACAATATTATACACAGCATTATTTTTCTCGCAATGTTTGCAATTATAGTTTCTCTCTTCACCATTGTTCCATTGGTATACAATAAATAATAGTAACACTCTTAATGATAGTATTTCATTTGTCATTTCATTGTGTCAGATAATGAATAAGTAACGGAGTATCTATAAATGGAAAAAAGTAATTGAGATAAATTGTAATAGTGTTTATAAATTAATCTAACAATAAGAGATTATTCGCAATTGGGAATTGTCGCTCGACAGAAAATCAGATTTGTTTATACGCAACGAAATTACTAACTGCGATATGTCGATCGAGATGAACGGAGAAATTATCCCTTGGATCTAATTGTATATACCACGTATACGAAGACAGATGACTCGTGTCGTCGATCTCGACGAATAGGAAACTGAAAACCGCGAGGTCAGAGCTTGGGCTCATTTTCGTAGACCTCATCTTCGTACTCGGCGTCGTATTCGTCGTAGTTCTCTGCTTCCTCCTCCTCTTCCTCCTCTTCGTCTTCGTCGGTCTCTTTGATGATACCCAGCCTCTTCGCGACGCTCTTCACGTTGTTGATGACCTCCTCTTGCACCAGATTAAAGCTCATTGCCAGCAAGGCAATTCCAAATAACAGGTAGAGGGAACAAAGGGCGATACCTTTCTGTGCATCCAACTGTGGTACAAAGTCGCCAAAACCTTAAAATAGGAGAGATAGGAAATCATGCAAGTTCCATAGTGTTTAAAATAAACGGAAAATCAATAAATAAAAATCAATGGATAAAGATGAATAGAGAAGTAGAGCGTTTAACATTGTCACGTTATTGACTGCGAATATGAATATTATTTTAATAAAATTAAGCCAAGGCTCTCTTAACCCCCCAAAAACTGTCCTCGAAGATTGAGCTAAAATAGCGAGATAAAGTATATGTATCATCTTTTTAATTGAAGCTAGAATCGATTCATATTATAAAATTGCTATATCGCTCATTTTATGGACGGGTGCTTTACGCGAAGCAGTATAATTATAAGTTGCATTATAAAAGTCACGTCGCGTCTTTTTGAGTGAACCGCGAAAAAGAGATAATTAATTGGGAAACAAACCGATAGTAGTCAACGTGATGAAACAGAAGTAAGCTGAATCGAGGAACTGCCACTTTTCCCACTTGCTGAAGAGGAAAGCGCCGCCAAGTATGTAGCTGACGACCAGAAAGACACACAGCCAAATAGGCACGGGCTTGATCGGCTGTCTTTCTTGGTCATCTGCAGCAGTATAATAATCGTAGTCAAAATCAATATCGTCGGAGTAAACCTGTCGATGTACAGCAAATCCCATTGGCGACATAATCCTCGGCGACGGCGGCGGTCCTCGTTTGTAAGAACGCGCTGGAGAAAGATATTTAACGATTAAAAAGTACATGCGTGCATTATCGATCGTTATTCAATTGTTAATCGCTTGTTATTTCAATTGTTAACCGCGTATTTATAGTTTGCAATCTAAGAACTTTGAATGATTTGGACATATGCTCGATAATTAGAGTAGTATATACACATTTAATATAAATTAAATTACATATTATATAAATATAAGTTAGAAAACATTTTCCACTTCATATCGTCATAACATACTGTCGTTTTTATTCTGAAAAAGGAGCTCAATTCTCATTTAGATTTTAATACTCATTAACATATACAAAGTCATTTAGATGTAATTCAGTGGCTTTCTATCAAAATGAATAGCCAGAAACCATCGCGATTATTGCGAATTTTAATTGATCTGTCGAAATTTATTTACGTTTACATCACCATTCGCTCACCAACGGAATAATTGCTCCTGGTGCGTCTACTTTTGGTAGACTGCGATCTTTTCATATATTCCATTTCCAAATAAATCGAAGCTGGTCGGAGACCTGACGACGAACTCATTCTATGATTCGTCGTCGTGGCTCCTTCCACAGAAAGGCATCTTCTCGGCAAAGATCTGGGATTAAAAGAAGTTCGCTTTTCAACGCCATCCAACTCTTCGGCCGTTTCGTTGCTTTGTAGTTTATCCAAGTTCTCGACTGTAATAACGTCAGTTTTGTTTAATTTCTTCAAACGCTTTGAAGAACGATCTCTCTTTCGTCATCTTAAAAAGCATGGATACTTATTTGAATCCTGAATTAATAAATAGTAGATATCATTACGAGAATAGTATAACGGACACCCAGCCAGAAATGTTTGGTCGATCGACATTGATTCTACGTCGAATCAACGTCGACCGACATTGATTCGATGTCGATTCAACGTTCAACGTCAATCAACCAACCATTTCTGGCTGACAATGAGTGGAGTATCGTATACGCGCGATAAGAAATAATATACTACACGAGAATTGGCCAGTTTTTAATGCAAAAAGAGGATTATTTATTTTTATTTTGAGCTTAAAATTACATATAATTGATATAATAATAATGACATTGAGACTTACCTTTATTTGGAGGTAACTGCCATCTCGACGTTTCGTGTTCCAAATCATCCAAAGCATATTTGTTGCATAAAACTGGCGAACGATCCGCTTCGTTCGGATTCATCAGCAATTTTCTGTCCAGCGACTGTGTCGTTATTCTGGAACTGGCTGTACGCGATAATGAAAGTAACGCAAACCAGCCGATAGTTCAATTAATCGATGAGTCGATAACGAGTGCAATCGATGCGCTTGAATTAATTAATTAATATCGAGCGGTTGCTTTACGAGGACCGATGATAGCAGCGCTTTGTATCTCGCTTGTGCGATTTCATGTGATTTCGTATATGTGACATCGACATGTCATTTGCAACTCTTTTATTATGTAAAAAACGTACAAACAAGGTAAACAACAGAGATGGAGAGATTTAGAGTTAAATTTAATTATTTAATTTATTCGCCATATATTTGTTTCCTTATTTTGATTGTCTGCGCGTGACAACAAAATAATATCTCTTTTTTTACAAAATCGATTTGGCATACAACTGTTTATGTATTACTTTTTATCTTTTAACTTTGTAATCAATTTAAAATCGTCATGATTAACCAGCAATGAAATAAATAATTGATAAAATTAATTAAAAAGTACCTCTTACGCTTCTTGGAGTCGCCACTGGAATATCCGAATATCGTGGCATAGTTGCGGCTTTAATTTCTGTTGGATGATTTGTAGAAGGGGTATAAGCAATTGCTTTTGATTCACCTCCTTCCAATCGTCGAGACATATACCTACAATTTTTTTTTGTCTACTACATTTTATTCTAATATCCTTTATCACTATAACTTTTCATAATTAAATATATCCAAATATATCTGTATAGCGTGTAACACTAACTGTTTTCATTAGTTCAATAGCATAATTAATTAAAAACACTACATGTAAAATATGTATTTAGTTTTAGTTTATTTGAAAGATAAGATCATTAACCAAATTGAGATAAACAATGATCTTACCGACAATCAGTATCAGAGTACGATGATTTTGTCATACTTTCGGAGAGCCCTAAGGCCGAATCTGCTGATCGTTGACTCACTCTAATGGATCGGCGAAATGGGCCTCTGCTAGAGCCATATCGCCTTATAAAGAATAATATACATGTCATTATATAATGATGCATAGATTTTATATATTCATGCAGGATATTGGAATAATTTTATTTAATCTTTTAATAGAAATCCAAACATCCTTAGGAATGTATGTATATAGCCTTCTTCTTATGCCTGACATTTATTGATACCTTAGACATATTATATAGCATACATTTTTATAAGATTTAGAGTAAGATTTCTGTTTTTCCTTATTTCTTTTCTTCATT